GCCATCACAACCGCCGCCGCCGCCGTCACCGCATCCGCCGCCATAGCCGCGTGGAGAAGCCGCCGTCCCAAAAAAAAAGCACCATCGCAAAAACCACCGCCCCCTCGCCGCCGCCGCCGCCGCCCTCCCCCCCGCCGCCGCCCTCCCCGCCGCCCTCCCCACCGCCTCCGCCGCCGGGTGTCTGCGGCAACGGCGTGGTCGAGGCAGGCGAAGAGTGCGATGGCGGCATGTGCTGCAATGCGACATGCTACTTCCGCCCGGCGACGTTTGTGTGCCGGGCGGCAGGCGGGCAGTGTGATTCGGCCGAGACTTGCACCGGTGCATCGTCAGCTTGCCCGGCAAACGGCTTCCTCCCGCTCAACACACCGTGCGACGACGGCGACGCGTGCACGGTCGGCGACGTGTGCTCTGGTACGGATGATACCTGTGCTGGCGTGCCCGGCTGCGCTGCCGGGCCTTGTTCTGGACAAGGAACCTGCTGTGCTGCAGTATGCACCTGCAACTTTCCCTACATCAAGACACCAGCGCTCAGCGACTGCATCCTCCGCAATGCACGGGTCATTGCCCGTCCTGTCGATCCCAACGAGGATGTGGTGGAGACCGACACGGTCAGAGCCGGTGAGTCGCTCTTCTTTGCCGTTGTTCCGCGGACAACAACAACGACCGAGTCGATCACTGTCACAGTCATCCCCAACAATGGCGCTGTCCGAGCGTACGCCGCACCCGAGTCGATCACCCGCACTCCGTCAGCCGCTGACGCCACCGTCTCATCAATCGAGCCGGGCCTCCGCCAGAGGCAGGAGCTTGTACTCTCGCTGAGTGCTGACCGGTTTATCATCGGTGTCGCCTCTGACACTACCACCACCTTTGACGTCTCGGTCGCGTTCACCATCGGCTCGTCCGGTCAGGTCCGGCGGCCTGCGCCCGGCGCATCGGTCCCTGGCGCTGGCGGCAGCTCGAGCTCCGGAGGCAACGGTGGAGTCATTGCAGCGGCGATTCTCGTCCCGCTCATCATTATCGCTGCTGCTGCTGCCGGCGCCGCGTTCTGGTATCGTCGCCGCGAGGCAAGCCCCAAGTCCTCGACCTGGGACGCCACCTTTGCCGGAACAGCGTATGAGGCTGACACAACGGCAGGTACATACCCGGGCGACGCCGCGGCGCCAACCAACGGGCAGGTTCCTCTTGCCACGATGGGTGCAACGCCGGGTGTGGTGTATGTCAGCGATCTGTCGGCCTACGACCACTACGCCACCGCCGAGTACGATCGCGCGCCCGAGGACAACGATGAGCTTGCGTTGACCGAAGGCAAGCTGATGTGTGTGGTGGAAGAGTATCCTGACGGTTGGGGCCTCGGGTTCTTCCCGACCCCGCCGTTTACTCCGGGTGCGTTCCCGCTCAACCACGTGGCGCGGATCCGAGCGACGGTCCTCAAGCCTCACGTGCCCGGGGCGCTTGGGACAAGTGATGAGATCGCTCTTGCTGCTGACGACGCAAACGTGTACCTCGTGCGAGACGACGCCGATGGAACATCCCTTGTCTGCCACATCGATGGCAGCGGGGCGCCGGTCGACGTCGGGCGAGTGCCGTCCGAGTGCGTTACGATTGTGGGCCGGCCGATGCTGGGCACCAAGCCGGCGGCCAGGCCGGCGGTCCCGCCAATGCCTGCCGGTGGGCCAGCGTCGATCCGGTCTGCGCGGCGCGGCTCACGGACGGTCCAGGACTTTGACGTTCAAGACCGTAAGGCCAAGGTCCCGCCGCCGTGGGTCAAGCGGCGCAACTCGGGCATTGCGCATCCAAACCGTCGCTCGGGTGCGTTTTCTGCTGCCAACGTGGCCGCAGCAGGCAGCCCGCCGACGCCCGCGGCCAAGCCCGAACCGCGCTCTATCGCGGCCCGCAAGGTCGGCAACGCCGGCAAGCGGCAGTCGCGGGTCATTTCCGACTTTGACCTCTCGAGCCGCAAGCTGCCACCGGTGCCATCAGCCAAGACGCGTAAGCCGCTCTCGGTCCGGGCGCCACCGTCGACACCGGCAGTGCCTGCAGCCAAGCCGGCCGACCCGCCGCGAACAGGCGCGCTCGACTCGAGTGCAGATTCGGACTCGACCTCGGGCTGGGACTCGTCATGATTTTTATCTCATTGTTGCACCATAGCTGTCCGGAAGAGTACCGGGTTGGGTAAAGAGCAGCGACGACTCTTCGTTGACCGGGAGGTGAGCGGCGGAGGCAGCAGTTGCGCTCGGACCGGCCTCTGGATGTGGCGGCGAGAGGATGGTGTCACGCCAGGCGCGCCACGAGGCGTCGGGCAGGACGGCGATAGCCAGAACAACGACAACCGAGAGCCACCAGGCCGGCGAGCTCGAGACGGCGTACATGATCCAGTACATGTTGGACGGAGTGATTCCCGAAATGAGCGAGTAGACGTAGACGGTGCCAAAGTAGCCGCACAGGGTGAGGGCCATGGCGGCGGCGTTGAGAATGGTCCAGATGCGGGTGCCGATGGCGAGGCGGGCGTTGACAGCGAGGACAACATACGTGCAAACAGCGGTGCCAAAGGTCCAGAGGCCGTCGACTTGGCCATTGTCGGCGAGCACGCCGCGGCCGTAGATGGCGACACCGGCCCAAAACGCTGCAGCCGAGTGCCACACTGCCGACAGCATCCATCCGGTAAATGTGTAGCCGTTGAACCAGATGCCGCGCGGGAGCGGTTGGTAGGCTTCCGGATGGGCGAGGAGATAGTTGGCGGAGAGGTCGCGCTCGGTGAGCGAGAGGATCATGACGGGGAGGAATGTAAAGATGATGTTGTAGAGGGTGAGGAGCCATGCGTCAAAGAGGGTCTGGCCGGAGAATCCGTTGTAGAGGGCATAGTAGGCCTGTGGGAGCGCAAAGGCGATGTTCTTGTAGAACGAGTACTGGATGAGCATAGAGAGGCGGAGGTAGGAGAAGCGGCCGTGAACAAGGAGGAGGCGGCGGAGGAAGCGGAACTGGCCCAGCGCGTAGTCTGCGGCGCGAGATGCCTGCATGCCCTCTTTGCCGACGAGGCCGATGCCGACGTGGGCCTCAAGGATCATGCCGACATCGTTGGCGCCGTCGCCGATGGCGAGGGTAGTGGGTGGCGACGGCGAGTGCTCCTTGACTAGGCGGACAACGAGCGCCTTTTGCAGCGGCGAGACGCGGCAGCAGAGGACGGCCTCGGCCGAGGCGCAAAGCGCGAAGAACGCCGCAGCGTTGTGCGGCTCGAGCGCATAGTCGAGGGTCTTGCCGTCGACGACAACGCCGCGCGGGTGGTCACCTGACCGCGACGCGACGGCGGCGTAGTGAGCGAGCAGCCCTGCAGTCTCATCGGCCGACGAGGCGTTAAGTCGGAAGGTCTGCATGTCCTGGGTGAGAAGGGCGGCCGAGTAGCCGATGTTGATGGCGGTCTCCTGCTTGTCGCCGGTGAGGACCCATACCTTGCAGCCTGCGGCGCGGAGGGCGGCGACGGTCTCGGGAACTTCATCTTGGAGACGATCCTCAATGGCGGTGGCGCCGAGGAGAACAAGCTCACGCTCAAGCTCAAGCGCCGACGCTGCGACGTGGGCGGCGCGGTCGGCCATGGCGGCCTCGGCAGCGGCGTGGCGGGAGGACCACGCGGCATACCACTCGGGGTCGAGCTCGCGCGAAGCGACTAGAAGCGTCCGCAAGCCCATTGTTGACATGGCAGTGACGTGCGAGTTGGTGGCGTCGAGGAGGCGCGCGTTGTTGGCGCTGTCGGCCAGGAGCGGAGTAAGGACCGAGTCTGCACCCTTGGTGTAGACAACGATGCGGCCCGAGGGCTCGCGGACCACGGCCGACATGCGCTTTCGGTCCGAGTCAAACTCGATGACGTGCAACAGCTCGTAGACGGTAAGCCCGGCCACGCCGGTCTTGTCGAGCGTGAGCGTCTCGGTATCTCGATCGACAAAGGAAATGCCCATGGCGGCGGCGCCGATGACGAGTGCGAGCTCGTCGGGCGAGGTTGCCTCGTAAGCTGGATCGGGCAGCTCGTCGACAGGCTCGCCCGGGTACACCGTGTGGCAGAGCGCACATGCGGTGAAGAAGTGTGCGACGAACGGTGGGAGGGCGTCCGGATCGAGGACGACAGCGTCGTCCGAAACGTTTGCAGCGGCGTCGCGCGGTGTAAGGAGGTAGTGGGTGCCGGCGACCGAGGCCTCGCGCATGATCATCTCGTTCCTGGTCAGCGTCCCGGTCTTGTCGGAGAAGACGTGCTCGATCTGGCCGAGCTCCTCGAGCAGGTTCGACGTGTTGCACTTGCAGTGAGTGTCTGTGACTGGATCGTACATGCGGGCGTCGACCATGACCCAGAGCGAGCAGGCGAACTTGTGGAGCTCGACGGTAACATAGAGAGACATGGGGATAAAGACGTTGAGGAGAATGAGAAAGGTGAGAAATGCAAAGCCGTAGTTGAGCAGGCCGGCCGAGCCCGAGGTGGCGTACTTGGAGAGCTGAAGGTAGCCGGCGCGATCGGCGAGGACCGAGTCGTTGTAGTAGCCCGAGACGCCAGCACAGACCAGGCAGATGACGAGGAGAACGGCGAGGATCCAGACAAGATATGAGTTGAGGGTGACTTCGACTCGTGAGCGTTTGGATGGCGGCGGTGAGAGGTTGAGGACGAGCTTGGTCTCGTCGCCGGTGTAGAGCACAAGCGCGAGTACGTAGTCGGTGTTCTTCAGCCGCGAGCCACGGAGGAGGAGGTTGTTGGCCGAGAGCGCATAGTTTGAGCCGCCGCGGGTGGTGAGGTAGCCCTCAAACTCGTAGAGAGAAGCTGTCGGCTCCTGGTAGTGGACAACAATGTCGAGGGAGTCGAGGATGGTATGCGGATCGTGGAGCGCGGCAGTGGCCGAGAGGCAGGTGCGCGGTTTGAGAGCCGACTCGCCGTCGAGGTTGGATGTCTCGACGTAGGCGGTCGATGCGCCGAGGCGTGGCTCGCCACTAGGGACGAGTGGCGGGAGGACAGAGCGCGGATTAGAGGTGGCGAGGACAAGGGCGTCGGCAGGGACGAGCTCGTTCTTGCGGAGGAAGAGAATGTCGCCGACAACGACGTCCTGTGCCTGGACAATGCGAAAGGTTGATGCGCGGGTGACGATGGTGATTGGGCGGGCATTGACGCGGGCATCGTCCACAGCGCGGCGATAGTCCTCGTAGGCTTCTTTGAGAGCAGCGACAGCCAGAACAAAGACCAGCGGTGAGATGGAGGTGATGGGCGGAATAGGCGTGACGCCCGGAATGAGTGTGGCGATGCAAATGATGAGAAAGTAGAGATTAGCCAGGCGACGGAACTGCTCGTACAGGTTCTTGGGCAAGAACGACCACCATGTATACTTTGTTGTCCGCACAGCATTGCCTCCAGCCCCATTCCCACCTGTTCTCGGCGGCTTTGCCTCCTTCCGCCCTCCGATGGATGTGAATGGTCCCCGATGGCCCAAGCTAGCCGTCGGCCACTGGCTCGCCCTCTCGCCCACAAACCGCGACAGGGCCTCGCGCATCCCGTCCTCTCCCGGTGAGCATGACAGGCTTCGCGAGGGCAGCGGGTGTGACTCCAATGTCTCTACCCATGGCGAGTTGAGCTGGACAGTCATGGTACACTGAGTTGGGTGGTGTGTCTGTGGGGGGAAGGGGGGGGGGGGGGTGGTGGCATGTGCGGGGAGGTCACG